ACGGCGAAAACGTGGACAAAAGTCAAAAAATGAAAATCGCAATTCTTGAAATCCATTTAGTGGAACTAGTTTATAAGGAATCTGTGCATACTGTTCTCACAGTTTTAATGATTTTATTATTATCGTTTCGAAGATATGAGCCACCAAAGTTGAACATTTTGTAAAATCAATTTTCTCCGGGTAAAGTTTAACTTAATGTTGTTCGACATTTTTAAAATATTATGTTTATGCACTATTATCGGCTTTTTATATGATAATTTAGTATTATAATAATGCAAATTGCACAACAAAATGTTTATTTTTAACACTGATATGGAAAGAGATATAAACCATAAACATACTTAATGTTTATGGAAGGAAAAAGTTGTGATCTTCACCTCGGTTCACCTACCAAATAGGCTTAAATCCCTCGGTTCACGTACCAAATAGGCTTAAATGAAAGCTGGAAGCTTCCCGAACAAGGATCTGTAATGATATCTTGCAGTAATTTGCGGTCTTCTAAGTTATTCACATTTTTGTTCACTTGCGCGCCTTAGTATCATGTGCGACAACAGCGGTTTCAGATGTTTTTCAAATATGTCGTTGCTGACCTTTGCAAAAAGTCTTGTTTTGTAGGTAAGATTTCAATATCCTCATCCATATATATATTACATATTAGATATTTAAAGTTTATTCAACAATTTAAAAAATAAAAATTTATTTACAATTTTTGATATTAAAGAATGAATTTGTTAATGAGAAAAATATTATTATGATAGTTCAAACATTCAAGATTAAAATGCAGAAAGAATTAATTAATTTCGATAAATAGTTTCCGAGATTCAAATTCATACGTACTAGTTAACTAACCGTATTAGTTAACTGACAAATAAAAATTCGATTTTTAACACAAAAAATTAATTTATAACACTAATATAATCACCTTATCGAAAAACATTTGAATAATTTATCTCAGAATCGAAGATATTAGTTTCGTCCACATTTTCGCCGTTTTTCGCCACTGTGCGCTGTATTACTACGCGTAGGATTACCACGCGTTACATTACCACGCGTTGCATTACCACGCGTTGCATTACCACGCGTTGGATTCCTACGCTTAGAATTACTACGCGTTGCATTATTACGCGTTAGACTACTACGCGTTGCACTACTACGCGTTGGACTACTACGCGTATCCTCGCGCTCTGATTGGTCTATGTTTTTCCTTAATAATTCAAAAACGAAGCTCCAAACCCCATTTTTGTAAAGGGAAATCTTATTTAGAATCACGTCAGCTACTCCCCATTTCAGGAACCTACACTAATTGTGAGACACCCTATATATCAGTGCAGAAGAACCAAATCCCTAAGACAGAAGTATGATATAAAACCGAATACAGCCCTTACAACTCAGGACCAGATACATAAGTGCCACCATAAAATTTCTTAAGAAAGCAAACATGTTCAACAAAATATAAGGTATGTCCTGAAAGTAATGTCAGTAAGTCGATTAAAAATAATTTATTGAGCTGCTCGTTACAAATGATTAAAAATCTTCAAAATAGGCTCCTGCGTCAATATATCGGCTCCAGCGAGTCTTCCAGCTCTCGAATGCATTGCGGTAGGCCTCCTCCGGAATTTCCTTCAATGCCGCCGTACAAGCTCTTTTGATTCCGTCTACTGTCCCGAAATGCTTCCCTTTCATGGGTGTTTTGAGGCGTGGAAACAAAAAAAAAAGTCGGGGGGAGCTACGACCGGGCTGTACGGGGGCTGGGGAATCGTTGGTACCCCTGCTTTAACCAAGTAGTCGGAGACGATAAAGGCGATGTGGGCTGGAGCGTTGTCATGGTGTAACCTCCAGTTGTTTGCCGATATGGTTCTTGACGATGTCATACACTTGAGTTTTTGGAATATTTAACATATCGGCCATTAAACGAACACTTAATCGTCGGTCTGAGTTCAACAATTCCCTCACTTGCGTCACATTGTCGGCTGTGGTGGTCGTGGATGGCCGTCCGGCACGGTCCTCGTCGTCGATCTCTTCCCGGCCATTCAAAAAGGTCTTGTGCCACCGAAACACTTGCCGATCTAACAGGGCATATTCTTTATAAGCTGACTTGATCATAGCAACCGTTTCCGTCGCGGTCTTTCCAAGTGTCACGCAAAATTTGATCGCAACTCTTTGTTCTAACGAGCGCTGCATTTTGACTTATACAGCGACACAAAACAATTTTCACGGATAGGCTCGTCCTCACTATCCGGATGCTCGGACCACCTTCAGCAGCGGAGATCTGTTTAGCTGACGTCCCGTACTACCAATTTTAACCGAAAAAATCGCGGTCCGACGTGAAGTCGCATCATAATAAAGTCACTGACATTACTTTCAGGACATACCTTGTATATAGGCACGCACTCGTCGCCAATGACCTTGCAGTCGACACGACGTAAAACACCTATGAAAAATAAAAAGACGAAAATCATATCTGCAGTAGTGACCACAACTGATAAAGTTGACATGATTGAAACATATACCCTATATGTTCTTTTACAATCGACTGGAATATAATAAAAAAGCATTACTAGAATATATTAGTGATAATACTAGTAAACAAAAAAATTAGCTCCTTCATAATCCATTAAAAAATAACATCAATTATACATAAATAAATGAGCTACAATCTCTTATGAAAAAAGATTTCCAAATTACTCTAACACAATTAAGCTAGTAAATTAAACCAAAATTCTTAGAAAATCTTTGTTCTACGTATTAACTTAAATTACAATTAAATTCGAACACATTCAGCAATATTCTTCATTCATTCATCACAAACATTCTAAAGATTCCGAATAATACGTATTGAAAATATATTTTGAATGAAAAATCGGTTAAACGTAGCGTATTTCCCGACAAACATATTTCAGAATTTTCAAAAGTCCATTCTCCAATTCTGCGAGCTTTTCATAAAACCGTTTGCTCTGCTTTATAAAACTTGTTCTCCTTCGAGAAATGAAACGTTTATAATAGCCGTTCGCGTTGTTCATTTACTTGGAACTTTTTCATGAACAGGGGCAAAAGGTTATTCGAAAAGCCTTCTCTTAGTCTGTTCTTTAATCGAGCGCATGGCCGCGTTGCAATGAACGTGTCACCCCATTGCAGGCTGCAAAATTTCTCCCTTTTCGTTAGGAAACTGAATTACTGGGACAAGTTTGTAGCTGGGATTGCAGGGCCACCAGAAAACTTTCAGATCGAAAAGCTAGAACTTTTCAATGCTTCGACATGCAGGAATTACTTCGCTCAGCTATAAAATATAGAAAGATGGAGGAAGTAAGCGGAGAAGTGAGTGTAAATGGCAAATAAATCTTGACCCGGAGCAAATATTGAATCAGGGACTGTGAAAGAACAGTCTACGAAAATACTTTTGCGTGAGAAGGATATCGCGGAGGAGATTAAGAAAGAAAAGATTAAATCTAGCCGAAAGAGCTGACTCGTGATCCACAAATGTTACCTCATTTTTATACTACTAGAATTTCATTCGACAGATCTAGATTTAATATGAGGGAAATAACGTAAATCAGTTTGAAGCATAAAATATAATAGAACAAGTAAGTACTTATTAGTGTTTTTTCGATTAAAATGATTATATTAATTGTATATAAATGGCTGATTTTGACAATAGAAAATTGGACAGGTGATTGAATTATAGCACTTGTAAAACATCAGTTGGAAGTTTAAAGTATAATAAAAGCCACCATATAAAGTCAATAATATTCTTAATATAAAATAACTGCTAATTGCAGAGCGATGTCCTATTTTGAAATAGAACGTTTAACATAAATTGATGACATAAAGGTACCTGAATATATCACTAATATATTATATGTATATATATAAATTAACAAATAACAATTTTTTAAAAATGTAACATGCATATTGCAGTTCATGAAATATTCGCAATTATTTTCAGTGACTTTGTATTCAAAATAGTTGGCAATCTTTAGACGGTAAATAGAGTACCTGAAAGATCACGAGGAAATGATTTCATAAAACATTTTGTCGAGAAAGCAAAATTTATTATAGTTATGATCAAATTTACGATAAGACACTGATGCGTGTAATAGTTTCAAAGTATTTTGGGAATTCTATTTTCAGTCAGTTTATAAATTCAATGGCAGAAAATCATAAATCTCTCCTTCGGACCTACATTATCTTGATGGGAAAGTATCGATCAGATATCTTTCGTCTGCCACCTGCGCAAGTTCTTGGAGTGTGAGCAGTAAACCCATCAACAAATTAATTCCTACGATCGACCATACGCTTTTTCTACTACAAAACCACTATGTATTCATTAAAAGTGAGAAAAATAATTTCACGTAAGATTTAGATGATCAAATAAGAACAGCCATATTGTAAAATAATATGGTTATGTTAAGGGCTAAACAATAGTTTGTATTGCTTATAGAAATATTTTGTAAGACATGTTAGTTGGTAATCATATTTTTACAATAACGTATTTTGAACTATATTTGTAATAAAAAACATTTCAACATGGGTACTTCAATTTTGAATATTTTCAAAATAGAATATGTCAAAATAGAATATCTCAAACTGCAATATTATAAAAGATATTCTGAAGTTAAGAAACTTGAAATAACATATTTCATATTAAAGGCATTTTCAAGATAGCATATAGAACATTTTGAATTATAATGATCGGAGGTTCCAAAATAGAATTTCAATGTATCTATGAAACAAAAAATGTTTGAAATATACATATTCCAAAATAGACTGAATGATATTAAACTATTTTCAAAATAGAACATTCTGAATTCAAAAAATAGCACATGCTGAGTTAAAACATTCTTAAAAAAAGTATTTCACAATATAATGTTATACAGTAGAATATTTTAAATTATATGAATTTGCAAAGACATAAAATATAAAAATAAAATATTGTAAACTGCATAACGTATTCCAATATAGAATATTTTAAACTAAAATACTAAAAACTTAATAGATTAGCAGAAATTATTAGTGTTTATGCACTGGAAAGTATTGAATAAATAATTCAAAATGTATAAAAAGTTTAAATATAGTTTAACGTATAAATTGGACAGAAACATAAAGTGTATAACAATGTGAATGACAGCATAGTGACAATATAATATATGAGAGTACGCTCGACAAAATCCAAGATTACAGAATTTCACAGTCTTTCACTTCACATCAAAGGATTTCACGAAGATCCAGTCTTTCGGCGCAAAGAAAGCCTTTTTAAAAGTTGTGTTTAGAGGAGTAAAGATGGATATGAATTCTCTGTTTAGTTATACTCTTATTTTCGTGATCAGCCATTTGTTAGATAAATACATACCTCCAAAGTTGCGATCAGATAATGAAAGTGTTCGGGAAATTATCAGTCCTGACCTTCAATTGAACACCGACGATGGTCCTTTAATGGTTAACCCCTTGCTGCACAATTTATTTGCCAGATACGTCAGTCATAACATATTAGGTTATTTAGAATAACCTAACCACGTCCGATTTCGATCACAGTGAAATATCTTGTCAAGGTCATCATTCCGAACACCTTGTTCCTGTACATATGATAGTCGGATTCTTTTAGTTTTTAAGATATTTGAAAAAATGATGCGCTTCACTGCTAATATTTCCAAAAGTGAATAAATCGAAACTAGGGTTTCGTATATTATTTTGGGGGATTTCGTCCCTCCAAACCTCCCCGCCACCACGTCGACATTAATCCCACAACTCTTCGGAACGGACTTTTTTAGGTATTTCGAAAACACATGTGCGAATTAATGAGCGGAGAGTATATGTAAGTACGAGCTGAATACAGTCAAATGCTAAATGGAGCATATATTAGTCATTTATTCATTTAGACTTTCATTCAAAGGATACATAAATGCCATTATTTTGAAAAACGCACCTTGACAACATATTTCGAAGTGATCGAAATCGAAGGTGGTCCCCTTATTCTAAGTATTTAGAATAAGTCCCTTATGCCTTATACCCAAATTATTCATAGCTATGATATTGAAGGAAATAATGTATTTCATACTCAGCAATCCTTGCCTACACAAATTATAATTTGACATAAACTTCAAAGTAAAGTCTTATAAATGAGTGCAAGTCAAACTTGTCAAAGTAAAGTAAGGAGTTAAGAATGCTAAATTTTTGGGTTTCAAAGCTGAAAATCAGTGGCTGTAGCTAAAATTAGTGGATGTGCTCCAGGTAATGTTTAACCTTTGTTTTAAAATTGTGTAAAAGGAAACAAATGCATAAAAAGAAAAATTGAGAAACTTGATAAAATCTTAAAAGAACAAAATCAAACATTATTTACTTACTATGTTATCGATAATATCAAATGAAAATAGGGGGTGTTGCACATCCACAGTGTTTATACGCGAACCACCACTGGAAATACTAATTCAAAAGAAGCAACATCCTTTAGAAATATTCAAATAAAATTTCTTGAAACAAAATGATTTGTAATATTGACTACTTTGCTGCTTTACGATGCATCGCAATAAGCTGAAACTACAAAGACCTGTTCCCGTATTGCTCGTTCACGTTATTACTTATTAATTATATTTCATACAAGTCCAAACAATTAGAACAAATCGATTGCCCGTAGTTTGAGCCGGCCACGCAGTACAGAAACGCAACAGTTATTACAATTTCATGTAGTTTCATTTCGAAACGTTTGAACAGTTGCAATTGATGTTTGTTCAAGGTCCTCGATACCTGGCCACGAGTATTTGGAAGCTGACTATGAATGCGCTCCGGGATTCTACATGGCGAGCACAACAAGCAGGTTGCTTTGCAGAAATCGTCAATGGATAGGAGAGCCGCCAAAGTGTAAGGTCAAGGAGAATTTCGAAAGCGTGTGTGCTGAAGCTTTCTGTGATCATGTTTGTAAGGAAGTCGACGGTAGACCAGTGTGTTCCTGTTATAAAGGTTTCCGCTTGGAAGACGATAAATGCGTAGGTAAGCAACATTCATCTTACCTAATCTAGAAGGATCTACTTCAAACATCTCATCGCTTAATTGATGGCTTGTTTTATACCTTTGATTGCGTCGGTATCATTTAGCTGTAAATAGAAATTAAATGTTGGATGACTTTGATTAAATTTTGATGAAATTAGTAAATTTTGGGTATTTTGTACAACGTATTATTTGTGACAATATTATAATATCTACAATTATTTATAATAATATTATAAAAATACTGATCTGTGTAATTAGAAGAATTTAATTTAATTTTTGGATTAAGACAAAATCAACTTTTGAATCAAAACAATAAATAAACGAAGTCATTAAATAACGTCAATTAAGCGATGAATGTAATGAAAATTAATTTGCATATTAATATTTTTTCTTAATCTTTTAGTAACATTTTCATGTATTATATAATTTACTTCTTTTTTATATATCATTTTCTTTTAAATCTTTTAAATCACATATCATTGCAAGGATAATTAGTAAAATATCTCTCAACGTCCTAACTTTGATACAATTAAAATTAAGAATAAAAAAAAATTAAAACTTGGAATCGTATAGGATGTAGAATAATTTCAATTTCGAAAGTACTGACAGGAAATGGATGGATACGAAAAGTTTCATCATTTCAAAACTTCATTGCAATGAACTAGGATTCAATTCGTGCTTCTTGTTCTTTCCGTCTATTCAAAGCAACTTTACCCTCTATTTATCATATATATATATATATATATTCCTGGAATAAAATGGAAGTTCACTTCACTGGACTTTTCGATTAAACCGGCTTTTCAGCTAATTCGTATTACCTGTCCTTCCAATCTGTTTGGATTATCGAGAATTTATTGCATTTCTATATCGTCCACTCTTTCAACGCAACGGAATTTAATTGAATTTTTCATTATCATTTGATTCCGGCTATTTTACGACTTGATCGAATTAACGAAGCTCGAAAATTAATTATGATGCAAGAAATATCGAGGAAACTGGAGATGTACGAGTGTTTTTCTCTGGAACGCGGTTCGAATCGTTCCTCTAAACGTCGAGACATCGAAAAAGGAAAAGATGGAATAAAAATCTCAAGTACCCTTTGCTTCCTTTCTTTTTTCATTGAAAAACACGCGAGCGAACTTCGAAATAAACTTTTCTGTTCGATTTTTATGGAAAACGGGAGACCATGTAGTCGAAATCGAAGCAACGGAGAAGGGAAAAATGTCTGAAACGAAATCGTTGATGTTTTAATACGAACAGGAAGAACTTGTCGATCGCAGAACACGGAAGCTGTCGATATCTCAACGACTGTCCTGTCGATATTTCATCTCGAGAAATTTCTTTTCTACCCATCTGACAGGTCTCCTTCCATCGGAGAAATGTTTCTACGTTTCAGTATTCATTTCGACGGGGAGAAAGAAAGTGTGTGAGACAGAAAAAACTTAATAGTGCGAACTATTAAAAGATTCGATCGATATCGATCGCTTGTTATATACCAAATGTGAAAAGTTCGAGACGATGTCATCACGTAAATGCATTGCCAAGTGCTTGTGGCATATTATTTTTAAGTTAAACATTTGACCAAAGTTACTGTATAAATGTTTAATTAATATTCCTGATGCAAAATTGCTGCTTGTCAATTACAGAAAATAATAAATTCTTATTAATTATTAATTGATTTATTATAAATCAGTTATTTATGGATTTATTAATTGGTGCATATTATGTCAGTTTTAATAAATAATACAATGTATTATTTTGAAGTTTAAAATTTGATGAATATTACTATGTAAATATGTAATTAATATTCTTGATATAAAATAAGAATTTATACATTGAACAAAAATTTAGTTATAAATCATTTATTTATTGGTGTATACATATAAAACAGCTATGATTTTGTTACATGAAAGTTCTACCAAATAATGCTTATAATCCGTTTTGAAATATATAGTTTGCTAATAATTATTTCGTGAACGTATAATCAATGTTCTGAATCCAAAATGGTTGCTTACTAATTGCAGAGAACAATAATTGATGTTGGTGCATATAAAGTTAAGCATTATTTCATCACATACAAGTTTTAACAAATAATGCTTATGATATATCATTTTGTAGCTTAAAATTTAATGAAGATTATTATAGAAATGTTTAATCAATATTCTTTATACAAAATGGCTGCACACCATGTGCAGAAAATAATAACTGATTTTGATATCATTTCTGACAAGACTTCTTTAGGTAAAAATAATATAAATTAGTGCTTAAAACATATTATAGTGGAGTTTAATGTTTGATCAAAATTACTACGCAAATGTTTAATCAGTAATCTTGATGCAAAATAATAGTTTGATAATTTGTAGTAAACATTGATTTATATTGATTCATATAAAATTGGACATGATTTTAGGACATAAAAGTTTTATGTAATGGGGCTTATGGTACAGCAATTTAAAGCTTTAACTTTTACAAAAATTATTATGTAAAGATCAATTATTATGTAAAGATATACATCAACAATAGTACCTCTTGGGTGATGTGGAAAGCTATTGACAAAATTGTAATTATTATAACTTGTGTTATTGTTATTATATGTATATATGGAAGATGTTTATAAATGCAAACATAGTATTAACAATTTTAATAATCTGTAAAAATAATAATTATTAACAGTGTAAGGAAAATTTCTAATCACGGGCCCCATGGCCCGACAAATCTATCGTGCGACGTCCCTGGCGCACGGCGTCACGTGGGCAGTCGAGCGCGGTAGTAGGAGCACGGTAGGCGTCGACTCCGAAATCGGCTCGAAAAGGGCATCTAAATCCGAGCACTGTTCTAAAACCATATTTTTATTTTAGTTGGAATATTCTTAAAAATGACCGTTACCGTTGCAGCGGTTTATTGCGGGCAATTTGTCACTCCAAAATTTTTATATGTTTTTATATTCTTATTAAGGCCCAGCATAATTTAGGTTTATTACTGTCGAACCGTTAGGTGACAAGCGACGGCATAGTCGACACTCTTCAGGTCAAAATTGACCTGAGCTCAAACATTTTGTTAGGGCGGTTCTTACCCCTTCTTGCAATATTTTGTCGACCAATCTGATGGTTAATTTTCACAAGACGCTTGTCACCCCTAAATACATGCTGATCCCACTCCGCATTTTTTAGTTTTCGTGGAAAACACGAAAACTTTTCTCGCCAGCTCTTACCTAGTAAACATCTTTAAAAGTCCGTTACCACGTCGTGTGATATTTTTTAAGTACTAAAATAAAGTTCAACTTATACCTCTTACATCAGTTTGTTTATTCATATTATCGGAGTAGTGGTCACTGATACAAAACTTAACCAGCTTGCGTATGCATTAAGTTGACGCGCAGCACAACAAAAGTATTGCAAAATAATATTTATGGCATATCATTCTGAAACTGAATCTTACATGAAAACAATTGTGTAATGGATTTATCTTAAATTAGTATTTTTCAAAATAAGATATAACATCTTTACATCAGAATATTTTCCGAATTTAGTGTCTCAAATTAGCGTATTCTAAAATAAGATACGTCAATATAGAATATATAAAATTCCAGAATTGAATATTTCAATGTAGAATATCCCAAAATTGAATATATAAAATTGTAACATCTTCAAAATAGAATATTTCGAATTAGAATATTGCGTAATGGAGTTTTCAAAAATGGAATACATCAAATCGAAATATTTCGAAATAGAATGTTGCAAAACTGAAAACCAAATATTGCAAACTAAAATAATTCGAAAATAAAATATTACAATGCAGGATCTTTCAATATAAAATAAAATAGTTTTTTAAACTAAATTAATTGACTTTTTATTAAATAAATAAATTCACAATTTAATATTCTCCATTAATAGTGCAACAATTAAACTTTTGAACAACTTCAAAAAAAGAAGATTCTTAAACACTTAGATCCCCAAATGTTAAAAGAATTTTTTTACTGTTAAGTATCTATACTTCCTGAGTTATACGATATTTGTTTGAAGTAGCTAATAGAACTTCGAAATATTTTTTGCAATATAAGCAATTGAGTGATCGATACTGTTTGATCAGGAAATATTTACCTTGGGCCATTGTTTGCCGTTACTGATAGTGAGCCATATTGTATTGGGAATATTGATGAAGTGTTTATGCATGTAGTCATTTGCATCAAACTTTAATCTTCAAATTGATGTATTATAAGTGTTACTATGTGATACGTCGTCCGATATTTCAGCCGGCAATAAATTTCACATTGGTTTTATATTAAAAACATACAAACATTTGTATACATTAATGGAAATTTTGAAGTCTTGTACATTTTTCCTAATTAATTATTAGTGACAGTTTCAGATACGTAATATGGCTTACACTTTTATCTAACACTCGAAATAAATTAATAATTTAAAAAACGATGTTTTAGTACTCAAGAAATAAAAGTAGCAAGACAGAATTTAGGGAAATTGTATAAATCGTGTACATATTAATAATGTCCATTTATAATCAAAGTCTTGTACCTAAAAATATTAACTCTCATACTGCAAGTTTTTAAATTTGTTTGATAGTAGTTGCGATGTCTAACTATACTTAACTTAAATTTGTTTATCTCTAATCATTAATTGAGGGAGTAATAAATGTTCGGATGTAATACTTGAAAAATTAGTATGAAATTGTTGGAAACGTCAGGTTTCAGAACATCAGAATTTTGACATGATTTGATATCACTACTATAAATATTAAATACGAGCATAAGCATAAAAGTGCTTTAACTCAATATTTCTGATACACCAATTTAAAACTTAAAATTTGCTAAAAATGATTATACAGGGTGGCTCACCATATTTTGCCATCTAGGTTTGCGTCATTATTATTACACATAGCAAACAATGTTTTAGATGAAGTTGAATAGTTTTGAGAGGGGCATATGCTGCTGGTATATTTTTTTTGTAGGTGGGCGTATAAAGGACATATAAAGGTCATTAATGTTTTTTTTAAAAAGAATCATATATTTTTTATTGTATCAGCTGATACTCCTTCATATTCTTTACAAAAAAGTATTTATCTCTTTATGTGAACAAATCATTAGTTTAGAAGATATTTTAATTTTAATGTCTATTTACAGAAAAGGTTCAATGTGGTGACCATTTGCATCAGAACATTTTCTGAATCGAGAAATTAATTACTTACTAACATTCCGTAGCGTATAATCTTTCCGCATGTGTAGCACTTTTCCCAGCTTCAAAATAAACTGATAACATGTCTATCTTTCCTTCTTTAGAATACTTCATTATGATGTGATAATTCACCGTATCGTCGTATCCACTGTATTAGAGACGTAACAGAGACTAAATTTCACTGTTACTGCATAATAAAAAAAAAAAACAAAAACTCACAATTCGTTTGGTGACACGTGACCTCTCAAAGCACGTAGAAAAAAAATTTGCTATTCAGTTAGGGCAATTCATAATACTGACCAGAAAGTCACGATTTCCTAACAAGTAAGAATTAAAGTATCTTCTAAACTAATGATTTTTTCACATAAAGAGATTAATACTTTCTTGTGAAGAATGCGAAGGAGTATCAGCTAATATAATAAAAAATATATGATTCCATTTAGAAAAACATTAATGATCTTCATATATTCTTTACACGTCCGCCTACAAAGAAAAATATACCACTAGCATATGCATATGCAATCAACTTCATCTAAAACATTGTTTGCTACGGGTAATAATAATGACGCAAATCTAGATGGCAAAATGTAGTGAGCCACCCTGTATACTCATTTTCTAACTTCTTTCTATATGAATTAAGTATCTCAGAATATCGTCACATCAATGTCATTATTACTTCGTATAATGATTAGAGTAAGATCCAACGATGAACAATTTTATGCTAACTTCATTAAGAAAATGTTTGCATGGTAATTTTCAACAAATTTCGAGCTGCAAATTCATGTAATATAAATGCTGCCTTACAATAATTTTATGTTAAATTGTTTCATATTTTAAATGTTGCGAAGTCGATCGTTTGCTATGAGCGACGAGCAGCCATTTTGTATTTAAAAAATTTAGGTAGTAATTTTTTACTTTAAGCTTCAGGTTGATGTAACATACGTGATATTTTCAGGTACTTTTATATCATCAATTTGGGTTAGCTGTTCCACTTCGAAGTGGGACATTGTCCACTAATTGGCAATCAGTTATTTTATATTAAGAATATTATCGAGTTTATACAGTCTTTTTTATTATGCTTTAAGCTTCAAAGTCATGTGCCATAAATGTTATAATCCCGTTTTCTGGCTGACTTTATATTTTTGATATTAGCTCTTTTATGTCTAGTAATGTAATCATTTTCTTCAGAGGACGACTGGTCAATGCCGGCCTTTAGCCATCTAATCAGTAAAATAAATTATTGGAACATGAAATAAATAAATTATCTTGGATAGAACGGTACTTTGAAATAGTAGGCTATTATTCTTGACATTTTACAGAATGTATAACAATGTAGTTCAGGCGTAAAGGACAATGTGAACTTTATGATACACCGGTTAAAATCAAATACAGCGTTGTGAGTGGTTTTCAAACATTTCACATAGTTCTCTTCTAACCGATATTCGATATATTGTTTCCCATCTCAAATCACGTTAAAAAATTACACGTCACATAAGTTCAAGCTTCAAGTATCATACAACTTCAAACTTCAACTTCATACGAACTTCGCGCAACTTCAAATTTCAATCTTGACACAACTTCAAATTGCAAACTTCACATATCATCGTGTCAAATTTCGTCAATCTCGAACAGTTTTCCTAAATCGATGATAGGAATTGAAACCTGATAGGAATTGAAAAATGGTAGCGATAGGTATAATATCAATGACCAATTTTGAGTACTATTCGCGAAATGGTGTACGTGATAGTAACAGCGCGAGAGATGTTAGGAAGTTAGCTACATTCCGTGAATTACACGTACTCATTGAAATCCAGATGTGAACGAATGCAAGGATAACAAGGGAGGTTGCCAGTATAAATGTGTGAACACACCAGGATCGTTTCGTTGTGAGTGTCCGAAGGGGATGAAACTAAACGAGGATAGATCCACATGCAGGGGTGAGTGATTTCGGTTCGAATGTACACATATATATACTTCATCACGCAAACAATTTTCTCTGTTTCTCTTGAAAAAAAGCAACAAATGTAAATACGCCGGTGAATCTGTAGTTTCATCAATATAACTATTATTGGAATTGCGACGTGGAATTCATGACTTTATTGGAAGTTCCATTTTATATTGTTTTTCCGTATTATTTACGTGTTGTTTATTCCAATTATTTATATGTCGTTTAAATGTTGCTTATTCGTATTATTTATATCGTTGGCAAATTATTTTATACTATTTATTTTTCTTTAGTTTTGTTAAAAATTTAGATAAGATTTACAGTTTGATGAAAAATGAGAAAAACGAGGTTTAAAATTTCAAAATGCTAAACCTCCTAAGTCTCGAAGTTCAAAAATCAGAAAATTAAAAAATCCAGAAGTTCAAAAATTAAAAAACTAAAAAATCCAGAAGTTCAGAAAATCCAAAATTTTACAGCTCCGATTTCAAAGTGCAAAAGTTATCAAATTTTCAGACTACTAAAATCTCAAATTTTAGAATCAAAATTTTAAAGTTCAAAAATTAAAATATTCTACAATATTCCAAACTTCAATAATTTCAGAATTCTAAAATATTCCAAAGTTTAAAAATTCCATAATTCTGCAATATCCGACATTATCCAATTTCTCAAATTTCCAACTACCAATATTTCCCATTTCCAAAATTCCAAAAACTAAAAATTTCAGAACTCCAATCTACCAATCCAAAATTTTCAAATTTTCATTAAATACATAAATCAATAACATTAGTAATTAAAATTGAAAATCTCAACGCATTGAACCATTTTTCATCAAACTGAATGATTGAATAATTCGATGAATTTAAAATGAGCGAAAACGTGAAATCATTATCCAACATTTGCCGATGATTCAGACATCAACGAGTGTCTGTTAAACAACGGACACGGCCCTTGTCAGGATACATGCCGGAACACCATAGGCGGCTACGAATGTTCCTGTGATGGTCTACGGGACTCCATTCTGTCAGCTGACAACCACACGTGTCAGGATTCAGGTCCATGCAGCATCAACAACGCAGGGTGCTCCCATACCTGTCTGTCGACCAAGGGTCGAGTATTTTGTCTCTGTCCTGACGGGTTCATCTTGAAGGACGACTGGAAAACGTGTCAAGGTAATTGAATTCTTTCACGTTTACCTTTTTTTGAACACCGTGCAAGAATATTGATAATTAATCCTTCGCAATCGAAGTTTTTGTTGCTGGGAGGTAAAAATTTTAAAGGTTTATAGTTGAAAAATGTGGTAAATTCTTTTGAAATTATTTGGTTAAGAAATAGTTGTTTCAAATTATTATGCTAAATCGAATCATTATCGCAAAAAATGCTACATAAAGTGGTTCAATTTTTTGAACCGATTAAATTTATTTTTTCACAGCATTATATAAGGAAAGAAAGTTTTGATCGTTTGTAACAATGTTTGTGCTACAATTAAAAATTGATATTCTTTCACATTCATCCATTGTTTATAATATTTTTACGAGATTTAAGGGTGACTGACTTTTATTTAAGTAAATTAATTTTTGTATTCTATATTTGAAATTCATGTATTTGTTTCTATATTCCAAGTCCTAATATCCTGAACTCATAAATTGTGTATCCCCACATTTCAAATCACTACATCCCGAATCCCCATATCCCGAAATCCTACATTACGAATCAAAACTTTATACTCCAAATTCCTATATTCCAAATCCCTATATCCCAGATCCCTATATTTCAAATCCTTATATCCTAGATCCTCATATCCCAAATTTCCATATCCCAAATTCCCGTATCCCAAATTCCCATATCCCAAATTCCCATATCCCAAATTCCCATATCCCAAATTCCCATATCCCAAATTCCCATATCCCAAATTCCCATATCCCAAATTCCCATATCCCAAATTCCCATATCCCAAATTCCCATATCCCAAATTCCCATATCCCAAATTCCCATATCCCAAATTCCCATATCCCAAATTCCCATATCCCAAATTCCCATATCCCAAATTCCCATATCCCAAATTCCCATATCCCAAATTCCCATATCCCAAATTCCCATATCCCAAATTCCCATATCCCAAATTCCCATATCCCAAATTCCCATATCCCAAATTCCCATATCCCAAATTCCCATATCCCAAATTCCCATATCCCAAATTCCCATATCCCAAATTCCCATATCCCAAATTCCCATATCCCAAATTCCCATATCCCAAATTCCCATATCCCAAATTCCCATATCCCAAATTCCCATATCCCAAATTCCCATATCCCAAATCCCCATATCCCAAATCCCCATATCCCAAATCCCCATATCCCAAATCCCCATATCCCAAATCCCCATATCCCAAAACCCTTACATATCTCTCTATCTCTAGATCTCTACATCCCTAGACCTCTAGAATCTTATGCGCCTACGTCTCTATCTTGAAACACATATGTATATCCCGAAATCTCTACATTTCTGTATTTCTATACCCTTTCATCTTTATTATATTCCTATGCTCTTACGTCCACATATTTTTATATCCTTGTATCCTTATGTCCTCATATTCTTATATCCTTATATCTTTATACCCTTATACACTCATATCCTTATACACTCACTCATATCCTTATATTCTTACGTTCTTGTGTGCTTACTTCCTTCTATCCTTAAATCGGACTATCTCTATATCCTCATATACTTATGCTTTCCTGGATCACAACATCTTTATACCTTCAGATATGATATACCTGGATCACAACATCTTTATGTATCTAAGTCTCTTCAGCAGAATACCCCTATAACCACATGTACTCGTACCGTCAGGTCTTATAGAGCTTAGTTTATCATAAGTAGGTGCTATTTCATGGTATTTTCATGGTATCATATTGTATCAGACATTTCATATTTGATATTCAGTAATGTAACAAAAACTCAACATTTTTGTTCTAGACGTGGACGAATGTGTTCAGCCAGACTTACAAACGGAAATGTGTCGTTACGGTTGCATCAACACGCCAGGTTCTTATCGATGCGCTGAACCGATGGAGTTGAAGGATCAACCGATATTAGACACTTTGTCCATCACCTGCCTACCAGGTTACGAAGCTACCCCTGATGGAACTTGTATCGGTAAGTGGTTTAATCCGTATGAGCGATTTAACGGCAAGTTGGATTTGATGGTTAAGCCTCGAGGCGGATGCTTCTTGCTACGTGTATACACTATATATGCATCGTAGCGTATGCGTCGGTAATATTTAATGACGATTAAACAACACGAGGAACTTTAATCGTTTGAAGTTCTAATATTTATAAGTGAATTGTAGGTTGAATAATTCTATAACACCGACATGTGCTTTCTACTTATTTTTAATGATGTTCTAAATTAAACGTCTACATCCGATGTTGCTCCGATGTTGCTCCGAAGTGGAATAACCTCGTGTCTATGTATCCAATGTTATTTCTTATATTCAAGAGCAAACATATCTAACAATAAATCATGTAAACATAATAATTTCACAACTTAACTAAAAATTATTTAATCTTCGTTAAAAATCTTCAGTATATGTCTCTCCACCCAAATATTTTTATACGCTTTTAAATATCGATCAACGTCGTATTTAACAATGGACTTCCAACTGATGTTCAGATGTGAACATAATCATGTTCCATTATTCTTGAAATATTTTACGTCGTAAGATATTTGCCGATACATTTTATGGATCAGTAGCCGAGATGTTACGATGTTCCATATTAGGTGCAGTTAACCTACTCATGTTCATACTTCTGTTAAAGCTAGAATAAAACTGTGGAGTCTCAGGTGAGCGATTATGGTCCAATGGACATTTTATAAAGTCATAAATGATGCTGATATTCGTTCAGTTTTTAGAAAATTGCGATAGAACATTTTATAGATGGACAAAATAATACTGTAGGTAAACGGAAACTTTTATGTATGTGCGTCGGAGCGTCGGCAATATTTAGTGACAATTAAACGATGCTAAGTGGGCTGTAGCGTGAGTAATTATGTATAACCGATGTATGCTTCCTACTTGTTTTTAATGATGTTCCAAGCTGAACTACTGTGTGCCTATATGTATCTGATGTTGTTCCGAAGTGAACAACCTCGTGTCTGTTTCGTGTCTGTCAGTTCGATTGTTAATTTCACAAGATGAAGGCTCGGTATGGCTGTACAATTTTTACGAACAAGGCTGAGGGAAATAGTTCTTAATTTTTATTGGATACACAAATTTGAGTGGAAATAGGAATCTAAGTGACACGATGGGTTTGGTTATTCTTCAAAAAGTGATCGTAGCAAGTGATGAAACCAAGCAATACATCAACATTAAGGGTTTGCGGTTCTAGTATTAAGGGTTCTAGCAACTGGATTTGAGTAATCATAAACTAAAAGCACTCGTCCACCCCATAAACAGAATTTACTATAAAAGGAGAAATAATTGATTGCATATGTAAAAATTTCAAAGTCTCTCATCATAACATGTTATTGTAATGCATAATGTAGTCTTATAATGATTTTACAAAAGGAAAAAGTAATAGCTAAAATAAGTAAAAAATAATATAATTCATAAGTATAGTAAGTTAAAAGTGAAGAAAGCTCACAATTTTGTCCAACTAGCAAACAATTAAAAATTTTTTTGTTTGTTCATTTTTTCATAGAAAAATACTATTTTATCACAGTTTGTTGTTCGATGTATCGAATATTTTATGCAATATTTATGCAGAGATACGTCGTAATAGGTGTCCCTCATTTAATTAGCAGTTAACCCATATTTGTGGCCGACAGCTTGAATAAATATAAAATTCGTCGTTGTTGCAACATGTAATGATGTGTATACATAATTCATCCTGTATACCGATATCAAATATATCGGACCAGCCGCGAAAATTAATCGTGTGTATATTTTGATTCGTTTGATCAATCTGATCATACAATGTGTATAATTCGTTGGCTGGAAAATTGAACAAGGGACATTAATTTCGGTGAATCAAGCATTAAATGTAACGTCAATAACATATCTCGTTGCAGAATAATATATGTATATATAGTGATCGATTTCGAAAAGATTGTGCTTCATATTTTTTATAAGTAAAATTAGGATAAATGAAGGATAAATAAATTAATTCTATGCTTTTTTCTATTTATTGTTTCAATAAAGAATATAAATATTTGTATATTGTTAATTTTGAAGAGAATATACTTTGTATGCTTTTGAAGCTTAACATTAAGCTAACTGAAATAAATTAATTTGTAGCTGTTTTCTATTCATTATTTCAATGCAGAATATTCAATATTAGCATGTTGCAGAGATGAATATTACAAAATAATGTATTCATGAATAAAATATTCCATAATTAAACGCGTTTTACATTAGAATGTTGTAAAGTAAAATATTTAATAATTAAGCATTCATAAACAAAATATTTGAATATAAAATTTGAAAGTGAAATATTACAAAATGGGATATTTCAAACTAGAATATATTAAAATAATATATTTTATTTCAGAATATTTCAAATTAAAATTATTCAAGATAAAATATTTCAGAGCTGCTCACTTTCAAATTCTAAAGTTCCAAAAATTGAAATTGAGATTCCCTATTCCACATATTTGTGAAATGTACTTATATGTACGTTTAGTAACAATACAATAAAATGATCAACAAACTACAGTATAATCACAATTCACCTATCATGCATATACTGTCAGATTTGAATCTTGATATTACAAACATTAATATCACAGAAATGTACTAATATTCATTATCAAATCATTTATACAAAAATGTTATTTCCAAATAAATTAAAATAATAAATTAGAAAATAAATTTGTACTAAATACGTATTTAATAAATAATAAATTTATACTAAATACGTATTATCTAAATAATAAATTGGTAAGAAATAAGTTTGCATTAAATATATGTTAAACGAATAATAAATTTGTAAGAAATAAATTTGAATGTGATAATAAAATTATGGAAATAAATTGGTTGCCGTGAAATGGGTCTAATGGCGAAGAAAGGATGAAAATCAACGAGATCTTTAGTTTCCCAGGCGGAAGCATAGCTCCTCGAAGGTACGTCGTGTTTCGTTGAAAAACGAAGCTAACCCGGACGTAGATACCAAAAAATGAACTATTTCTTGAGAACGATAAGAAAAGCCACGATAAAAGACTTCCATGAAACTAATTCAGAATTTCTTGCCTGAGAGTCGAGACTTTACGATGTCTCCCACGTATTCTGCTTTTGCCCTCTTCCAGAAACTAGCTAACTGAAAGAACCAGCACGATCCATTTTTTTTCTCTTCTCTTCCTTCTTACTCATTCGCAAAACACTTTCGAACTTAATCCTCGTTGATGAAAGTTCTCCGCTGAAACTTTTAGCAAACCAACATCGCAGTTCAACTGAACGAGGGACGATCCTCGAACTTTGAATCGTTTAGTACGGTTCTGTTCAAATCAGTTGCTTCTACGAGCTACATTTTTACGCTTAAGTTTTCGACGATGGAAGAAGAATTTGCAAAGGAATTTCACTTTTGTGTTACGATCCGGATACATGACCATCGCCATATATCTGGACAGGTGGTTTGCAAGAATTGATGAATGTTATGAATGTTATCTGGATTAAATTATTTTTTTAGTTTAGTTTTTATTTAAAAATTGTTCGATAAAAGTATTATAACATTTAAAACGACTAAAATTTTTTATTAAAAGTCCCTCATAAAATTTAATAAAATTATTAACAAATTTTGAACTTAAAATTTAAATATTTTCAAATTGCTTATTTAAAATTAATTTGAACTTCCCTTTCCCACATAAAATTTTAAAAATACTTCTTCTATGATTAAAATTTTTATTTTAATTGAATACAATTTTATCACAATAACATAATTTATTGAAATTTCCTCATAAATTTTAAATTTAAAGGGTGGAAATACAAGGTATTAACATGTGTTAATAATGTTATGTACGGTAGTAGTGTATCATGTCAGTAGCTAATAAATTATATCATTATAATTTAAACAGGGTTTTTAATTTTAGGAAAAACGTGAAAAATGCAGAAAATTTATAGTAGTCTCAATTCGATGGCCACGGACTGTAGATAACATCTGATTGATATTAAAACTTGTATGTATTAGTTAAAATACCCCATTCTGTATACATTATTTTCCGCAATGTGAATTTTGCTTTAAAATGGCGTCGTTACTCTGACTTTATTATTTATTTCGGAGCACTAATTAGAATTTGGGTTCTAAACTTTAGAGGATCTTCAGTTGGTGCAATATGGCGTAGTGAGATGAATGAGAACATAAGAGCACCGTGTATGTTACAGTATTAATTACACAATATAATATAAAATCTCCTGCGGTTTCTATTTATTCCTAATAGGTCTGAAACACGTGTTCAAAAATTATTGTGTGTTTCACATGAATTAAATAAGTCTGTGATCATTTCATTTAAATTTATGTTACATAACCTACATTGCAGGAAGAAAGTTTAATGACTATAATCTATAATTTTATGGAAAACATGTAAATTGCTGAAAATTTATAGTGGTCCTAACTCGATGGCCTACGACTGTATATGCAATTCGTATATAAAATTCGTAGTAGTCCTAATTCGATGACCAGTATTGTTTTTTTTTTAAATTGAAGGATTCGATAAATTGTATCGAATAGACTTGTGCTGTTTCAAATTTGATAATCTGGTTGTTAATTATGAAAATGGCTTAAGTCTATTCTTGGTTAGGAGATGCATATTATTCGCTTAATAATTGTTGTTATTTTAGCTTAATACTATTATTATTTTAACTTTTATCTTAATTATCGCATTTAGCTCTCTTTGACACACTTCACGAGTGTGATGCATCCTATATACGAGGTGTGACACAAAAGAAACGAGTATAGTCCAATAAATCATTGTACCTGCAGAATCAGTTCTCCGTGACATTACCACCTTCAAAGTAGTCCCCTTTAGCATTCACACACTTTTGCATTCGGTGCTGCCATTGCTGGTAAGTTCTAACAGTTCTAGCCCTTTGCGGACGGAGCCGCTCGGCGAACGAGCGTCGCTGTGGACGAGAGGTACGAGGTGCGATCATTAAGTTTCGGGA